ATGAAGACTGCTAAGCAGATTTGGGATTCAATTCAACGCACTTATTCTCAGAGGCAGAATAATGCACGAATTTTTCAGCTGGGGCGAGATATCACCAGGATTTCTCAGAATGACTTGACAGTTTCAGGTTACATCGCCAAGCTTCGTGCTATTTGGGAGGAAATGTCATATTATGATTCCTTCCACTCTTAGAAGGATCCAAATGATGCAGTTTTATATGCAGGAATTGTGGAGAAGAATCGAGTGTTTCAGTTTCTTGCCGAGTTGAACGACGAGTTTGAGTATGCCCGTGTTCATTTATTGGGCTTATCTTCATTCCCTACTCTTGAGGATGCATATTCCTATGTGTTGTCAGATGAGAGCCGCCGAACTCATCCATTAGGTGTTGCTTCTGTTGATCGTTCTGCTATGGCAGTTCGGATTCCCAACCTTTCAGGAACTTCACCATCCCAGTCAGTTCAGAGCACTACCACCGGTCCTCCTCTGGGACGACAACGTGGACAATGTAACCATTGTGGAAAAATTGGTCACATCAAATCTCATTGTTATGCTCTACATGGACGTCCACCGCAACAAAAACAACAACCTCGATCCTCTGCACATTCTGTTACACAACCAGTCTCGTTATCAACTCCTGACAACCCTGCCTCTACATCTTCTGCCATAGTTACCTTGACTCAAGCTGATTTGGACAAGTTTAAGCAATTCTTCAACCAAATGGAGGCATCATCTCAGCCAACCTCCACTTATGCCCACTCAGGTACTATTGCGTCTGCACATAACGTATCTACATCTTCAACACCATGGATCATTGATTCTGGTGCTTCAGACAATATGACCGGTATGTCCTCACTCTTCCAATCTTATAGTATCTGCTCTGGCCAACGCAAGGTCCGCCTTGCGGATGGCTCTCCATCTTCCATTGCTGGGAAGGGTCACATATCAGTTACTCCTTCATTAACTTTGTCAAATACACTTCATGTTCCAAAGTTGACTACAAATCTTATTTCTGTTAGTAGCATTACCAAACAATTAAATTGTAGTGTAACGTTCTTTCCCTCTCATTGTATTTTTCAGGATCTGGTGTCAAAACGGACGATTGGCAGTGGGCGTGAAGTGGAAGGTTTATACCTGTTGGATGTTCCTTTGTCACCGTAAAGCACATTCAGCTTCATTTTCTAATATTGTTTCATCTAATAAAGCCCAGTTTATGCGTTTAGGACATATATTTCTTTTGGTTATTTGAAACATTTATTTTCTTCCTTATTTTGTAACGTGGCAGTGTCAGATTTATCTTGTGAAACATGTCATATGGCTAAACATGTTCGTTCCAATTATCCTACTAGTAGTAATAAATCTGCTTTAACACCTTTTGATCTTGTTCATTCAGATGTGTGGGGTCCTTGCCCAGTTACTTCTAGTCTTGGATTTCGATATTTCGTGTTGTTCATTGATGATCAAAGTCGTGTTACTTGGGTTTATCTTATGAAAACCAAAAATGAGGTATACACCATTTTTAAAAATTTTATGACAATGGTTCAGACTCAATTTGGTCGTACCATTAAAAAATTCCGATCTGACCAGGGTACAGAGTACACTTATGGGGAGGTACAACGGTTATGTACAGAATTTGGGATTGCACATCAGCTGGCTAATTTTAAAACTCCTCAACAGAATAGTCGTTCTGAGAGAAAGAATCGCCACATCCTTGACTTAGCCAGAGCAATCTGCATTGGCATGAATGTTCCCCAGTCATTTTGGGGAGATGCAGTTCTTACCGCTGTTTACATCATTAATAAGACTCCTTCTAGGATTCTTAACTTTGCAGCCCCACTCTCAATCTTACATCCCAATTCATCTCTATTTTTGATTCCTCCACGAGTCTTCGGGTGTGTGTGCTTTGTTTAGCAGTTGGGGCAAACTCGTACAAAGCTTGACCCCAAGGCTTTGAAGTGTGTTTTTGGGCTATTCTCACTCTCAAAAAGGTTATAGGTGTTACCATCCTGCCAGTCGTCGGCGGTTTATATCCATGGATGTTTCTTTCTTTGAGCATACACCATACTATAGTGGTTCAGTTGGTTCTCAGAGTGAATGGTTCCCATTGAATATTATGGATGATCACCTTCTTCCGTCTTCAACTCCTCTACCATTACCTGTTTCTTCTTCTATAATTCCTCCTCGTGATACCCCTCCAGCAGGGTTAATTGTTCCTTTTTCACAGGTTTATAATCGGAGACAACAGGTACAAGCTTCTACTCCCACGATCGACTGCCCTGTTCCTTCGGCACCAGCTCCGCCTTCTCAAGCTGTTGTTTCGCTTGATGATCGCCCCATTGCTCTTCGAAAGGATAAACGTTCTTGTACTTACCCTATTTCTAATTTTGTTTCTGATTACGCTCTCTCACCCTCCTATCGGAGTTTTCTTGTTTCTGTTGCCTCGGTTCCTGTTCCTTCCAGTGTTGCAGATGCGCTAGCACAACCTCAATGGCGTGATGCTATGACAGAAGAACTACAAGCACTTGAGAAAAATCAGACTTGGGACATGGTTCCGCTTCATATTGGACGAAAGGTTGTGGGTTGTCGTTGGGTGTTTACAGTCAAGCATAATCCAGATGGGTCAGTTGCTCGTTACAAGGCCCGATTGGTTGCCAAGGGTTATGCTCAGACTTATAGCATAGATTATCAAGAGACTTTTGCCCCTGTTGCCAAGATGAATACCATCCGTGTATTATTTTCCATTGCTGCAATTCAATCTTGGCCTCTATTTCAGTTAGATGTCAAGAATGCCTTTCTTAATGGTGATTGGCAGGAGGAGGTGTACATGGTTCCTCCTCCGGGCTTTCGTTCAACTGCTCATTCTGGTATGGTATGTCGTCTTCGTCGTTCTCTATATGGCCTCAAGCAGTCTCCTCGAGCTTGGTCTGATCGCTTTGGCACTGCTATGCTCAAGTCTGGTTTCCATCAAAGTGCAGCTGATCATACCTTATTTTTACGTCATTCAGGCGGTAAGACAGTTGCTCTCATTGTGTATGTCGATGATATTATTCTTACCGGCGATGATACTACCGGAATTAATGAGGTTAAGAGCTATCTTGGCCGTCAGTTTGAGATTAAGGATCTTGGTCCCCTACGATACTTCTTGGGCATTGAGGTGGCTCGCTCTAAGACTGGCATTTTCATCTCTCAACACAAGTATGTTCTTGACTTGCTTTCTGCTTCTGGTCAGCTTAGCGCTCGTCCTGCTGATACTCCGATTGAGCAGAATCATCGGTTGGCTGATTCTGAGGGGGAGTTGTTGTCAGATATTGGTTAGTATCAACGAATTGTCGAGAAGCTCATCTATTTATCCATGACTCGACCTGACATTGCTTATGCCATGAGTGTCGTGAGTCAATTCATGCACTCTCCTCGTGCCCCACACCTTGATGCAGCTATTCGGATTCTTCGCTACTTAAAAGGGTGTCCAGGCCGTAGTATTTTGTTTGCTAATCATGGTCACTTACGTGTTGAGGCTTGGACAGATGCTGATTATGCAGGTTCAATTTCAGATAGGAGGTCTACTTCAGGTTATTGTACCACTATTGGTGGTAACTTGGTTACTTGGCGCAGTAAGAAGCAGGATGTTGTCTCTCGATCTACTGCAGAGGCAGAGTATAGGGCTATGGCTCTTAGGGTAGATGAGTTGCTTTGGCTGAAAACCTTGATGACAGACTTGTGCCTTCCAGTGTCGCTTCCATTCTCACTCTACTGCGACAACAAGTCTGCCATTAGCATAGCAACAAATCCCGTTCAACATGACAGGACTAAGCATATAGAGGTGGACCATCACTTCATTCGAGAGAAGATCATCTCTGGTCAAATTTGCACTCCATTTGTCACAAGCTCTCAGCAGCTTGCAGACATTCTTACAAAGGGCGTCAGCAAGATTGTGTTTGAGAATGCATTGTCCAAGTTGGGCGTTTCAGATATCCACGCACCAACTTGAGGGGGAGTGTTAGCATTTATGATACCAAGATTTATGGTATAACTTACCATAATAGCCGAGATATGATAGGCCCAAATCATGGGATGTGATTTACCATATTATCTATGAGATATGATAGCCAAAAATCATGTATTTGACTTTATTTACGCATATGTCTAGGCATAGAATATGCAATGATTTGATTTAGTTTCCTTTCTTGTAATATGAGCATGTGCTCATTTTATCTATAAATACTAGAGCTGTGAATGGGTAATTCATCTCATTCAAGCATTTACGCAATTCTCTCTTTTCTCTTCTTTTTATATATTTCTACTCTAATATACTTTTTATTTATCAAAAAACAAAAAACAAAAAAAACAAGTCAGAATAATTGATCACAAGAACGTCCCTTATATAGGGAGAAAAAAGAGGAAAAAAATATTTAATAAACCCATAAAACCCTATTGATCTAAGTGAAAGAAACCCTAAATTATTCAAATTAACCCAAATTAAAATTAAAGAATTCTCTCTCTTAATAAAGAAACCCTAATAAGTGAGAAGCAAGTCTGACACATGGACTTCCTGTTCACCATCATTATATTTTTCACCTCTTAACATAATTTTAGTTCCAATTCCAGACCAACAGAACTTTGACATAGTTTCACTGCTCTGATTAAGATCTTTGCACACCATATTTTCTACATAATCCTAGCTGTAAACAGTTATTGAGCCCTGTAATCCTTAAGATTTAAGGAGCATAAAATCAAATGAAATATGGTATGATACACACTGGTTTATAAAGTGGCTTGGGAAAATCATCTTCATGTTTCTACAGTACATCCTAAAGTTAAAAGACTGCAAAACAATTAGGAAAAAAAAAATGCAAAACCTCTGTGCAAGAAAATATCCTCAACATAAACTGAAGGCTTGCTGTTGCGTTGATGAAACTTATTTAGTTCATGAGACGTCTCAATGGGAAGCAAACTAAGTAAAACCAACAAAGAATGATGTTTACATGCAAACAAGTATGTGTTACCTTGATATTACTTTGTAGTAGCAATTCCATGCGGCAAAGCTGTATGGATGCTGATTAACAATGTACCTTGCACAGTCCCACCCATGCGTAGGATCAGTAGTATTGTATGCCATTTCTGTAGGATATGAAATATAACAGTGCTTTAAATTGCTGCAATAGTCTCTATCTTTTAGTTCATAAGCAAGAAGATGCCTTTAAAGAAGGTTTAAGAAATTCAAATTGGAAATTCTTATTAACAAACATTATAGCGTTTCGGTGGAGGAGGAACAGATTTAAAAGAATCTAAAATAAGTTCATGACTTACGAGCTCCAAGGGATCGAAGTTCCTCTTTCTTCTCCACAACAAGTGTGTTGTACGCCAATTTCAAGGTGAGATTGATAATCTCTAATGCTTCCCAATATCTTTGTGAGAATGCCAATGCCTTGCATAACTGTGAACAATAAAATGAAGTAAACTTGTTCAGCCTAATTGCAAATGTAACAGGGAAAAAGGTAAGGACACCAGAAAAAATACAAGAATTCTATAGCAGTTATGATCTCAATTCTCAACTGAGAATTTTTTTTTGAGAAAATCCAATTAAAACAGAGACATAAAGGGAAAATGATGCCATCCAAAGATATAGAAAAAATAAAAGAAAAAAGAAGAGTTGACAAAAAGATCTACCGAAGAGCATTTACATTACAGGCACTGAAAAAACAAAAAAATAAAGCCAGATATACTAACATCAATAATGAGACAATAATGCTCCTCGTCTTTCAGGAGATTAGGCAAGGGAATCTTCTTCAGCATTTGCTGCTGATGACATTAAAGATCACATAAAACATGCAAGCCAGATGGGTCAAAATCCTAGAATTGTGTCCGTGATTTGACTTTTCATTCATGACATATGACAAAAAGTTTTTACCGGCGAATCATCATCTGAATCGTCACTTTTCCAATTAATTCCAGCAACCAATGCTGCAGCTTTTCTTGCTTCCTTTAATGTTGCCTTCTTTTGAAGCAATTTCTTTGCTCTGGCAGCTTTCGACCTATATGAAGGATAAATTATGAAGCAGATAACTTATTACTCTATTCCAATGGAACATAATTTAGAGAAGAATGATGTAAAGATGACCATGGAGATGCTACATTGCATAGATGACCATCAACACCATCTTCAGAATGATAACTGTTATGACAAATGCAACGAACCCAAGATAAAACCAAGAATCACGGCAGAAACGTAAACACACCACACAAAAAACACAAAGATTTATACGTTGTTCAACAATAGCCTACGTCCATGGTTGGGATCGGGCGAAAGTCTTCACCATGTATAAAATCGGAGTTTACAAGTTTTCAGCCCCTCACTCTGCTTCTGTACGAATTTCAGAGCCTCTCTCTTCCACCACTCCAAACCCTAAGCGCCTTTATATATCGGGATACAAGAGACTAATTAGGGTCCACGACCAATGAGCAAAAAAAACAGGTCAAAAATTTTCCCTTGGGCCCACACAAAGCTCATCCATCGGGTCATAAACGGGTCGCACCAAATTCGAGCCACAACATCACAATAACACTGGTAAATTCAGGGGTAACATACCAATAAAAATAAAATTTTCATTCAAAGCTAACGCCACCAATATGTAAAGTTGTATGACGCTTTCTAATGTGTGGTATAAATGAACATGAAAAAGACAAACTTTATGAGGATAAAGAAAAAAACTAATAAGAGAAATAAAACACGGGAGGATGGCCAAAACTAACATGGAATGAAGTTATTAAAAATGACTTTAAAACACTAAATATTAGAGGATACATGGTACATAATAGAATAGAATGGAGAAAGAGAATCCATGTGGCCGACCCCATTCATTTGGGAAAAAGGCAAGGATGATGATGATGATGAGATATAAAGCATGCAAAATCCAAGATGATCTCATGCACTAAAAACCAACTTGATGTTCACTAGTTCTACCACCCGGTTTGGATGAATAAAACAAAGGAATCTTTTCTAAAAGGGCAACAACTGCTGTTCACTCTTCCCATCACATCCAGATCTAGAAGCATTTTTCCTAGTATTCCTGTTGCCCAAAAGAGAAATTTAATTGACTTAAGCTTACCATTTCAGGAACAGCAAACAAACTTCAAATTTAAATAACCCACTTATTTTACCATTTCAGGAACAGCAAATAAAGTTCAAATCTACATAATCCAATCAATATATTTGAGATGCCAGAACCTAAATTGTTGAAACGATTAGAATGTCTCCAACATCTTGAGTTGTTCTTAAAGCTTACAGAATTTGACAAACTGAAGAAAAGACATTACGAAACTCAGTTTCTTGTCTTACTTTTTTTGTGTTCATCAAATTAATATTCCTAGATTCGGCAGAATGAAATCAGTATGTTCTAATCATTTGTGATCATATTGAAACTTTTAACCTGCATGTTATAAAATAGTATAGCTGAGTGCACAATAGCTCCAATGCATTTCCTATAGTTTTTATCCACACAAGGATTGTTTCAATTATATGTTTCTTACAAAATTTTACACATTCAAAAAATCTCACGAGTGTTTTAGAAGCAAGGATGAACTTGGACTTCATCAAATAAGACACTTTTCAAGGCACCATTCTTGGTTTGCATCAGTTTTCTAGGATATCTAAAGCATTATATTTATCGTATTACTGCATTTCAGCCATTACTGAATTGTGTCGCCAATAATGTGTTGTATCAGCACACAGAAAAACATAATTCCACCATATGTCAAACAGGCAGTATAATTAACACATGTATCAATACTGCTAATTACCCCTAGTACAGTTCATTGCATATGACTATGGAGTGGAGCATTCGCAATGTGAACAAGGCCATGTTTTCAAGAGGGGAAAGAGTGGAGGTGAAATAAAAGATCATAAGCATATGAATTCCTGGATATAAAATGACAATTAAAGAAAATTAATGCAGAACGTAATACTCACAGATCTGACGTTGATGCTACAGGCCTGAAACCGTGAAATACATTATCGACTTGGTGATCGTCTAATACCTTCACTCTTTCAAAAAGGACACTTCTCGAGAGCCTCTTCCTCACTCCAACCTAAAACAAAAATCAAGCAACAGAAGACATATGAGGTATGGGCCATTTGCCACTAGGTCAAATGGTACTGGAGTACGGATTTGAACATGTATTATACATATGCACAGAAAATCAATTTCCAACACAAGATACAAATTTCAACTGTATTTCTCAATGCTGCAAACTTCTAATGATTAATGTTCATAGAGGTCTTAACCAGATAATTTTGCTGCCTATTTACCTATCACTGCGTCCTCTCTGTGCAACCGGAAAATTTAAAATTTTGTAGTGAGGATTGCCGTAGAGATGATTAGAGCACTATGTTTTGTTTAGAAGAAGCTGTCAAGCAAGTATAGGCATTATAAGGGTTGTCAGGGGCGGAGGGAGGGGTGGGCAAGGGGGGGCCTGGCCCCTTCCCCACCAAAATTTTCTCAAAAATTATTAATGCTACTAATTTACGATTCTTAATGGTAATTTTGAATAGAAAAATTAAAGTTGGCCCCCTCAAATTATTTAATCCCCCAAATTTTCTCAAAACTATATTATTGCTACTAATATATGATATTAATGCTACTAATTTATGATTATTTATGGTGATTTTGTATAGAAAAATTGAAGTTGATCTCCTCAAAAATTTTCTTCAATTTTTTTTTATGGTTATTGTTAACAACCATCTACTCCAAAAACTTAAGCTGTTAGAGAGGGAGTAAATTAAATACATAAATCCTTCAACACGCCCCCTCACGAGTGGCCTTCTTTTGGTCCAACACGTGTTTTTCAACTTTTTATGGTGACGGTGAGGTTTTGAACTCGAGACTTTTGGCTCTGATACCATGTTAACAACCATCTACTTCAAAAGCTTGAGCTGTTTGAGAGGGTGTAACTTAAATATATAAATCCTTCAACAGTTATTAAAGGTGGTTTGAATGAACCTTTTTAGTGGCGCTTTTACAAATTTAAATCTAGTAAAACATCTATTAATTATTATTGTAATCCTTAATAGCTACAACATAAATATTACAACTCTATTCACACACATATATATGTATGTAACTTATATATATATATATATATATATATATATATATATATATATATTATGATGTTATGGCCCGAATTTGGTGCCAGGTCGCGTTGCGACCCAACGACACGTTGGAAAGCTCTGGGGGTTCGGGGCTTGGCCTCGAGGAAAATTTTTGACCCGTTTTTGCTCATGGGTCGTGGACCCTAATTAGTACTCTCTTGTAGCCCGATATATAAGGGCGTTTAGGGTTAACTGTTGAAAACAAGAGAAGAACAAGCAGAAGATAAAATAAATAGAAAGAGACTAGGAATTTTCCAAGCAGCGAGTCTCCATGGAGTATTTGTCTGCGTAAGAATGGCACTGCTAAAGGGAAAGGATCTGAATTGACTTGGTTTCGTAGGAGATAAGAGGTTGAAAGATTGATGGAATATCATAAAGCTGTTGGAAATTTTTCCATGGCAAATCTTGGTGTATTGGGAGTTAAATATATAACATTTAAGGTGGGAAAGTGTTAGCATTGTGGCATTTTACATTTAAGTCAAATTCAAGCAAACAAAAGGCTGATTGAAATAGAAAATTCTTCTTGGAAGAAAAACAAGAAATAGACTGGTAGGCATCAATATCAACATTTTGTGAACTTATTTTATTCACGTAGATCCCTGAGAGACTACCATCCAACCTTCTGTCCAAATAAGCATGACAGGTCTTATATTCGTCCAATAAAACTTCTTTTGAATTTTTTTGATAGGAGACATTGAATTTATAATGTTTCCAAGGACCTCCACTACCAGACCACCTCACCAATCCTTTATGCTCCGTTCGGTAGGAAAGAAAAAAATTGGATGGAAGGAAGAGAAAAAGAGATGGATGAAACATCCCTAGGGAAGAGATTGTGTATTTCTTTCTTTTTGTTCGGTTGGATAGAAGAGAAGAGAATAAGCTTATAATTTCCTGTGTTCGTTAAGAGAGAAGGAAAGAGAAAGTTTTAATTATTTTTACCATTATATCTAATAATATTTATAATATTGTAATTTATAGAGGATAGTACTGTAATTTAAAACTTGTATAATTTAGGATAGTATTTAATTTAAATGCTGCCGCCTTACCAGGAGAGAACAAACAATTGTTGTCTAAAGCAAGAGAGAAATAAACGAAGAAGGAAAAGAATGCTAGAACAAGGAGGAAAACAAACAAGCAAACAATCGTTGCTGCTAATCTATTTAAAAATAATATTAATCACCCCCTCGCCAATACCCTAGCCACCCTTTATATAGAGCCTTTAAGCAATCCTAGCCATGATTGGCTTAATTACAATAAAGAAAAGTATCTAAAAATCAAAAAATTACAGAAATCAGAAAAGCTTTCAAAATCAGAACATGGAAAGCTTCCAAAAATCAGAATATGGGAATTTCCAAAAATTCATAAAGATGCCAGCATAAAATTAGGGATTTTATTTTGCCACTGCATCAGTCCCCCCAGGTTGGAAATAACTTGTCCTCGAGTTTGGATCACATGGCTCATCGTATATTAGTATGAACAAGATTTCATACCAATGAAGACTTGATCTTAATGCTACAAAATCTTGCTTCACTTTTTTCTTTTTCTTTTTTTTTTTGTTGGTCTGATTGTATTGTTCGAGCAAATATGAAGTTCACCTTGCCTCCACCTTTAAGTGGACAATCAAGCCATTTTGTATCCAAGGGACATGCTACAATGATCACTTCGTGGTGAACTTTCATACTCAGATAACTATGAGCTCAGTCCTCATATTTCCAAACCTCGAGGTGCATGATATCATCCTCAAAATAGTTAGTAAGGGGAGCACGAAGCATTGCACCAAAGTCAATCTCAGCCAAACAAGTCCTGTTTGCCACAAAATCATTCCATACATTGCCAAGAGAACCTTCAGAATACGATACCAAAGTATCTTCACTAGCACATTCTGGAGTAATAACTTCTTCAGTTCTTCATCAACAATTGACTCACATAATGATCCTTCACAAACTTGATGCCTATACTTCTCCACTCCATCTTGGACATGGAATTTGAAAATTTCTTCGATCCGTTCATCAGCTAATCCATGTTGTTCATTGTCAATAGCAAACATCTTGTCACCATCCTCTTCTTTTGCCGTATCGAACTCCTTAACTTCATCATCCTCATGTTTCGGAAGCAAAGCTGTTGCCGCCTTACCAAGAGGAGATGATGAAATTGTCTTCACAACAATTTTGAAACGAAATAGAAGGACAATGCATGAGAAAAGAAGAAATTGCAAAGCAAACTTTATTTGCTGTAAAAAAAATAATAATCTCTTCAACTAAACTGTCAACCCTAGCAATTACAAGGCTTTATATAGAGTTTCTTCCTCCCAATCCTAGCCTTATATTAGCCAACTACCAAATAGAAAATAAAATCAAAATAGGAAAGCTGTTGAAAATCAGAAAACTATTCTAAAAGGAAAGTTGATTAAAATCATAAAACTACTCAAAATAAGGAAACTTTCAAAATATGGAAAGTTTCTGAAAAACACAAATTGCACTTGCAGAAATTTGAAATTCTGCCTGCATCAGTCTCCCCGGGTTGGAAAGAACTTGCCCTCGAGTTTGAAGCAATTTTTCACGATCAATCAAAAATCCGAGCATGGTTTTCCATCCCTTCTTTCTTCTTTTCTGAACTCGAATCAAACACGTTAATCGTCTTATACTAACAAAGAATACACTAACATAATTAACATGGATTTTTCTAGATGTCCTTTGAAATTGTGTAGGTTTGCAAAACTCGGTGGAACATGTATCTTAAAGTACAAGTGTAATCAACTTTCATTTTTCTTCCAACAATTGCCTAGCAGTTGTAGTACTCTCCAAGAATTCATCCCAAATTATGTCATAAAAGTAAAATCCATTATTTTTCATCTCCATGGATCCAAATCGTCAAGATCAACCACGCATACTTCATCTTGAGATCCTTCTTTTGTAGCTTCCTTATCATCCTCATGTTTCAGGATCAATAGTAACTTTTGCATAACCAAGAATTCACCTATATCACCATATATGATTTCATCCTCTTCCTCCCGGTAATCATCATATTTTGGCTTGACCAGTGGGGTTGCATCATCTTCCTCGATCAAAAGTTGTTTTTCTTCTCCAACAAGATTTCCGACAAATTCAGGAATTTCCTCCATAAAGCCACCATTCCAACGCCATTCATCAAGTGGAATAGGTGTTGGTCTAGATGTTGTGCTACTGCAAAAAGGATTGAAAAAATCCTCTTCAAGATTGTCCTCATGAAAATCAGAAATCTGAAAATTGATATATGTCAGCCAACAACGATCAGTCCGCTCGTCAAGTGATCTACAGCGACGCGAAAAATAGAATGAATTTTTCGCAATAGTCTCGATATCTGACACATCATCATCCATCGACAACACGTTGACCCAATAATTAAGTCAACAACTCAACTTGTCTCTACTCTCTCTCACTTTCGTGTTGCTTGGGTAGCCAGATTCTGCATCCTACGATTTCCTCCTCTCGATTGATGTCTTGGAGGCATGATTGAGCAGTCGGAAAGCCGAAACCTAAGCTCTGATACCAAACTGATGCCACCTAACCAAGAGGAGACGATGAAATTGATGCAGGCAGAATTTCAAATTTCTACAACTGGAATTTGTGTTTTTCAAAAACTTTCCATATTTTGAAAAGTTTCCTTATTTTGTGTAGCTTTCTGATTTTCAGTAGCTTTCTTTTTTGAGTAGTTTTCTGATTTTCAACAGCTTTCCTATTTTGATTCTATTTTATATTTGGTACTTAGCTAATATAAGGCTAGGATTGGGGAGGAAGAAACTCTATATAAAACATTGTAATTGCTAGGGTTTACAGTTTTAGTTGAAGAGATTATTTTATTTTTACAGCAAATAACGTTTGCTTTGCAATTCTTTGCAATTTATCATTTTCTCTTGCTTTTGTTCTTTATTTCGTTTCAATATTGTTGTGAAGACGAT